TGCGCCACCACACCCGGCCTTCCATCCATTTTGAAAATAACGATACTTTTAAACAATAAGATTTTTTAAAAAGCATGATTGCTAAGATAGTTATCTAACAGGCAGCACTGAGTGTAGGGTCTGAATTTAAGAACTGTCCAAGAAATATGCGGTACTTTTACTCTGTCTTTAACTGTCACTATTACAACCATTAATCCTTATAAATTTAAAAAGTATTTTTAAAAAACTTAACTTACCAATTTAATGTTTTATTTTACCACTTAGGATTGCCTGGATAAGTACGAGGATGTGTATGCGACCCCAGTTAAGCACCCTACAAAAACAAAATCAAGAGCCAGACTTGCAGGAAAGAACCCAGACTGTAGCCATCATCGAGGAAGACACGCTGCGAGGCCATATACTGCTCCAGGGTCTAACAAGCGAGAAAGCTACAGTGGAAAATTTCCGAGTCCTCGGATGGGTTCAGCAGGATTAATTCACATAAATGATGCAACTCTAGACCATACCATGCATAAAATGTTGCCCCCCCAAATTAAAAGAAGGTATTGAGAAATATTTGCTCATTTGTGATATTAAAATATTAGTGCCGTGTAGATCAGAGTGATCTGTGAGAGCAACAGTCAGAATATCCATTAACAAAGGTTTGGAGAGCTTGTTCTTGATTAGAAGTCAGCAACCAAATCTCGTCTTATGAGAACCACTTTCTTATGACTAAACGAAAAACACATTTATTGTAAACATATTTTTGTTTGCAAATCTTAGGCAACAAACCCAGAAATACATATTTAACTGATACGCATTAGCAAAGTTTCCACACTCCAGTTTTTTCTCTTAGAAGGAGGAGTCGGGATAAAATACCCTCTGACATCGCATCCTCTGTTACACTCTATCTATTGTGCACCCGGTTCTCAGGTTCTATATTTGCAGTTATGTGTGTTTCACCTCTTGTTATGAATAAATGTTTCTCTTTAGCACTCATTATGTTTCTAGATTCAACAGTTTGCAATTCTCCGGACCTACAGAATTTCTGTTAATTTTAACATTGATACTGCATTTTTATATACCATGAACAAGGATAATAGAGAAAAGATTTAATATTAAATCTTGGGGCTTTACCTACCCTGGAGTAGCTTTCTAACTTACTTGAAAAACTATGAAAGGATGTTTTTAACTACACCAAGTTCAAGAAACTGGATAAACCTTTAGAAAGTCATAATATATATTCTATCTAGTTAAATTAAATAGGGTTCAAGTTAGAGATTTCTGAGAACTGGCTCTATTTTTCTGAAGTACAGTATTTACTGAACCTTGGTTCATTCTTAAAGAATAAAAACTTTAATTTACAGAGTTTTTGTCAGCTCCATAAACACAACAAAGATCATTTGGAGTTTAAATGGATCACATGGAGTTTAAATAGAATTGGGTAACGGGAAAAATAATTCCTGGCCACTCAGGCAATGTTATAATCAGGGTAGTAATTTTTATAGGTACCAAGAATTTCCAGTAGTCCTCAGACTTGTCAGTACAGATGGTTTGACTTGGAATTTATTGACTTTACAATGACATGAAATGAATATTTATTCAGTAGAAACTACATTACATTTTGATGTTTTCCTAGATTGTTGATATGCAATATAGAACTCTTTCATGATGGTCAAAATGGTTAGAGAAAAGCAAGGAATCACATATAAAGGTAAACCCACTAGAATTATGGCATACTTCTCAATACAAACCTTAAAGACCAAAAGAGCTTGGGGAGCTTCTTGTTTCAAGAAAAAAATTTCCAACCCAGGCTGATATATCCTGCAAAACTATCTTTCAAAATTCTTCAAGAAATAACATACTTTCATGACAAAGAGCAGCTAAATAAATTCATGACCACCAAACCAGCCCTCCAAAAAATCCTTAAAGATACCTTGGGAAGAGACAATGAAGCTAGCCGTAACAAAAAGGTCTGACAGAATAAATATACTAGGCAGGCTGACCAGCTAAGTAGAAGGGAAAGAGGGAATCAACGACAGGAAAATAAGGCAATGACAAGAAGTCAATAACTATCCATAATAACTGTCAATACAAAGGGTCTAAATTCCCCAATTAAAAACACAGATTGGCAGGATGCATGAAGAAACAAACTCCAGCCTGGCATGGTGGTGCACACCTATAATCCCAGCACAGCTGGTTGAGGCAAGAGGATTGCTGTGAGTTTGAGGCCAGCCTGGAGTACAGAAGGATTTCATCTCAATCTGATAAAAGCTACTTATGACAAACCTACAGCCAGCATCATGTGAAGTGGGGGAAAACTGAAAACTTTCCTCCTACAATCAGGAACATCTCAAGGAGTTCCACTATCACTACTCCTGTTCAACATAGTACTTGAAGCATTAGCCAGAGCAATTGGGCAAGAAAAAGAAATAAAAGAGATACATATAGGAAAAGAAGAAGTCAAATCATCATTATTTGCAGATGACGTGGTCCTCTACATAGAAGATTCTAAAAAATCCACCAAAAGACTCATAGTATTAATAACCAAATTCAGAAATATAAAAAAGTATAAAATCAATGCACAAAAATCAATAGTTTTCCTGTACATTAATAATGAGAAATAAATTAGGAAAATCCATTATAATAGCACCCCTCAAATTAAGTACTTAGGAATTAAGCTAAGAATGTGAAAGACCTCTACAATGAAAACTACAGTAAGAGGAAATCAAAAAGGACATCAGAGAAGTGGAAAATTATCCCCCATTCTTGGGTAGGCAAAACCAATAAACCAAAATGGCCATACTTCCAAAATTGATATATATTTAATATAATCTCAATCAAATTACCAATAGCACTTTTGCAGAACTGAAGAAACCAATCTTAACATTCATATGGAACAAGTAGAGACCCAGAATAGCAAAGTGGGAGGCATCACAGTCCTGGATTTGAAGTTATATTACAAAGTTACAGTGATAAAGACAATGTGGCACTGGCACAAGAACAGATACCAGGATCAACTGAGCAGAGTAAAGGATGCAGAGACAACCTCAAGCACATTAAACTATTTGATCTTTGACAAAGGGACCAAAACTATGCACTGGTGGAAAAATAGCTATCTGTATACAAAAGATTGAATGGAGGCACATGTTTCTCACCATGTACTACACTAAAATTGAAATGGATCAAAGATTTGCATGATAAAACAAAACCACTATCTGCTGCGAAATAAAATAGGTAAAATTCTTGAAGTCACAGGCATAGGCAAGGACTTTTTGAACAGTAGCCTGGTTTGCCCAGGAAATAGTTCTGATAAGCAACAAATGGTATCATATCAAACTGAAAAGCTGATGTACAGCAAACAACAGATTGCAGAAACAGCCTACTGAATGGGAAAAATATTTGGCAGCTACTCCTCAGAAAGAAGACTAATATTGAGATTATATGAAGAATTTTTAAAAACAGACCCCCCAAAAAATAAAAGGGCCAATGAAAAATGGACAAGTACAACTAATAGACACTTCATAGAAGAAGTACAAATGGCCAATGAATACATGAAGAAATGCTCAGAATCACTGGCCCTTAGCGAAATGCAAATTAAAACAATGCCAAGAATGGTCATCATCTTACTCCAGCAAGAATGGTCATCATTAAGAAATCAAAGCTGGGCGTGGTGGCGCACTCCTGTAATCCCAGCACTAGGGAGGCTGAGGCAGGAGAATCATTGTGAGTTCGAGACCAGCCTGGACTACAAAGTGAGCTCAAGGCCGGCCTCAGCTGCATAGTGAGACCCTGTCTCAAAAAGACCAAAAAAACCACCCCCCCCAAAAAAAGAAATCAAATAATAACACATGTTAGCGAGACTGTAGGAGAAAAGGAACACTTCTACATTGGTAGTGGGAGTGTAAACTAGTACAGCCTCTGTGGAAATCAGTATGGAGATTCCTCAAAAACTAAAACCAGAAATTACATTTGACCCAGCTAGCTATTCCCCTTCTAGATACCTTCCTGAAAGAGTTAGAGACAAAATACTGCAGTGATAAATGCATACTTGTATTTATAGCAGCACAATTCATGATAGCAAAACCTTGGAAGCAACTTATATGTCCATCGATAGATGAATAAATAAAGAAAACATGGTATTTACATACACTGTAGTACTACTCTATCATAAAGAAAGATAAATTTGAATCACTTGTAGAAAAATGAATATACCTTGAGACCATAATGTTAAGTGAAATAAATCAGACACACAAGCTTAAATATCATATGGTTTCTCTTACATAAGAACCTCAAATTATAATAACAGGCAGACCATTGGAACTGGTAGATAGATCTTTCTCAAGTGGGAAGAGGATCAAGAGATGGAGGGAAGAGAGGTGAAATGGATGAAAAAGGGAATTAAGATGTGTTACATATGTACACATACCAGCTCTACACAAGAAACATGACCATTATGCATTGCAAACATATACTAAAAAAGAAATTATACTACAAAGCCATAGTTACAAAACCAGCATGATACTGGCATAAAAATAGACCAATGGAATGGAACAGAAGACACAGAAATAAACTCGCAGATAACGTCAAGTATCTGATTCTTGACAAAGCACCCAAAACATACATAAGAGAATAAACAGCCTCTTTAACAAATTGTGCTAGAAAAACTGGATGTCAATATGTAGAAGACTGAAACTAGATGCCCATATGTCACTCTATTAAAAAAAATCAAAGTTGATCAAAGACCTTGTTATAAAATCCGAAATTTTGAAGATACGGGACACCCTTGAAGCCATAGGTATTTCCTGAATAGAACTCTAGTAACACAGGAGATAATAGCAAGAATCAACAAATGGGACTACATCCAGAAGAAAACGTCCCTGTACAGCAAGGGAAATAACCAACAGAGTGAAGAGATAGCCTACAGAGTGGGAGAAAAATCTTTGACACCTACTCTTCCAACAGATTAATATCTAGAATTCATGAAAAATTCAAAAAACTTAACAGCAAAAACATCAAATAGCTGGGGATATAGCTCAGCAGTATAAGTGCTTGCCTGGCAAGCCTGAGGTCATGAATTCAATTCCCAGTACCAAAATAAATAAATAAACACTGAACATCAAATAGCCCTATTAATAAATGAGCAATTGAAGGCCAGGGATATAGCTCAGTGGCATAAGTGCCTGTCTGGCCAGTGCAAGGTCCTGAGTTCAATTCCTAGTACCAAAATAGATAAATGAATGAGCAAATGAGTTGGACAGATACTTCTCAAAAGAAGAAATACAAATGGCCAATACATATGTGAAAAAAAACCTAAACATCTTTAGCTATTAAGGAAATGCAAATCAAAACTCTATTGAAATTCAGGCTGGACATGGTGGTGCATGCCCGTAATCCCAGAACTTGGGAGGCTGAGGCAGGAGGATCGCCACAAGTTTGAGGTCAGCCTGGGCTATGTAGTGACTCCAGGCCAGCCTGAACTACATAGCAAGACCCTGTCTCAAAAAAACAAAACAACCTATATTGAGATTCCCTCTCATCTCAGTCAGCATGACTATCATAAAAATACAGAAAAC